GGGGGGGGGGGGGGGGATTAGCATCCCCACAGTGAGGATCAAGTGAAGTATCCTGTAAACCTCTCAACCTAGTGCCTACCACAGAGCACGCGAGATCTGTTTCATATATATTTTTTGAACAGAAGAGTAAAGTTTAAGTTGTGTCTAAAGAGCTACTGCTTCTATATGATTTGCCTTACCAGCACTTATTTTCCCAGCCCCAAGAAGACTGGAGAGTTTATTCATGTTTTTTTTTTCCCTAGGCCGCATGGCGTACATGACAATATTGTCATTGTGAAGATGCCGTTCCCAGGCCTCCCTGCACCTTATGCATGTTGTCCCTTCCATGGGCCCCATCTCCCCATGTTTGCAAGCTGTTTTTATCCTTATCTATAGGGACAGAGGGAGTTAATGGGTTAGGTTTTTGGGCTGCTAGCCTCAAGATCATCAGTTCAAACCCACCATCTTTTGTGTTTGCTCACAAATTTTCAAAATACCTTCCAAGGAAGTGCTTCAGAGTTTTGCTCCCCAGTGGTAGAAGCCTTTTCCCACAGCACTCACTAGCCCTTAAAAATGCTTGTAGTCTGGTAAGCAGGAAAGTGACACTCTGCATCCACTCTGATGATTAGAGGTGAGGCACGGCTTTGCAGAAAGCTGAGGAACTCCTCTTGGAAGGGCTAGGGCTCTGGTGCTACTGGTTGAGTTTTATGTGTTGGCTTTATGTATATTGGCCCTTATCTTCATGTCATTTTGGTTGCAAATATTTATTATGTTGTCATCGATCCTACAAATGACTAGCAGAGACTTGTCATTCAGAAGTCATGAATGTTGTTTACTCGATGTATTAGCTTCCTATTGCTCTCAACAAATTACCACAATCATTGAAAACCACACAAAGTACATCTCTAACTCGCTAGAAAGCTCTAAGTCTTCACCCATCATGATTCCAATCCCCAATATTAACCTCAATTTTTATTTTTGTCAATTAGTTTTTTCTTGTTTCTGGATTTTAAATAACTACCTCAAAGCAAATTTTGAGGAGGGTGGGTACAAACTTGCACTAAGGCTGTGGTGACCTGGGGAAGACTGGGTACCTAGACTTAAAGGCAGACCTTTTAGGGAGAATGAAGAGAGAATACAGTTACTTATTCATGAATTCAAGCATCCTGTCTTGAGTTTTTGCTGTGGGTGTAGGTGTAATGTTCACTGAAGTGCCTAAAAGTCTCTCAAAGTGTCCCCACTTACACGGAAAGTAAACCAGATTCAAAGACACCACAGGTCATTTAGCAATCCTCTTATGGACGCTTCAGCTAGCTCTGAGTAGATGGGCTTCTTTACATCTGGGATGCAGTGACAGAACAGCAGAATGCGTCTGGAAAAGGAACAGACCTTCATGACCAGAGGGATAGCCATGGTGATCCTTTCCCATGAGACACCTTTTCCTCTATCAGTACCTGACCTTGTGAAGACTTGCGTATCCACAGTGTGATTCTGCAGTGTCACTCTGCACCATGCAAAGCTGGCACATCTGTCCACATGTTCCCAATATGCTGCCTCCGCAACCTTTTTCTTCTTTTGCAATCTCCGGCCATGCCTCTAGCCCCCATTTCTTCCCAATACTCTACTTCCCCCTGAAAATTTTCTTTCCCTGGTTTGCAAGGCCCCATTTTAAAGTGGCCAAAGTCAATTGTGCTTTGAACCCTTCAAAGTCATCAGTTTTATTCATCCACTCCTCCTACCGCAAAATTCTTTTTGTTCTACAAAGGGCACTAAGGAACATTTCCATTTTATCTTTCAGGCTTAGGAACTAGACATAAAGTGAAACTCTCAACTCTATGGCAAGACATCTCTGAAGAACTATGTCATGATGTCCTGGGAAAAAAGATTCCTGAGTATTCACACAGAGTATTCAGTGTGACAGTTCAGACAACTGTGTGGTGCAAGCTGCTATCACACCTATGAAAATATTTGCTCAGGAACAGCAACAGAGCAATGGGTTTGGAGTAAACCTGCATCCAAATGCCAGTTTCTCAACACAACCAATGACTCCTGAGAGACAAGATCCCCATATGTCGGGACTACCTGAAAAGAAACTGAAAGCAGACTCTAATGCTCACCAGAAAACCTCTACAAGAGAGAAACCCTATCAATGTAGGGAATGTGGAAAGGCCTTCAGCCACAGCTCAGCCCTTGTAGAACACCACAGGACACACACAGGGGAGAGACCATATGAATGTCATGAATGCGGAAAAGGCTTCCGAAACAGCTCAGCACTCACCAAACACCAGAGAATCCACACTGGTGAGAAACCCTACAAGTGCAATCAGTGTGGGAGGACCTTCAACCAAATTGCCCCACTGATCCAGCACCAGAGAACTCACACAGGCGAGAAGCCCTATGAGTGTGGTGAATGTGGGAAATCTTTCAGTTTCAGATCCTCCTTCAGCCAACATGAGCGGACTCATACAGGTGAGAAGCCCTATGAGTGCAGTGAATGTGGGAAAGCCTTCAGGCAAAGTATCCACCTCACCCAGCACCTGAGAATCCACACTGGAGAGAAGCCTTATCAGTGTGGAGAATGTGGCAAAGCCTTCAGCCACAGCTCATCCTTGACCAAACACCAGCGAATCCACACTGGGGAGAAGCCTTATGAGTGCCATGAGTGTGGCAAAGCCTTCACCCAAATCACCCCACTGATTCAGCATCAGAGGACGCACACCGGAGAGAAGCCCTATGAGTGCAGTGAGTGTGGAAAGGCCTTCAGTCAGAGCACACTCCTGACTGAACATCGGAGGATCCACACAGGTGAGAAACCCTACGGGTGCAATGAGTGTGGGAAAACCTTCAGCCACAGCTCATCACTCAGTCAGCACGAAAGAACACACACTGGAGAGAAGCCCTATGAGTGCAACCAGTGTGGGAAGGCCTTCCGGCAGAGCACCCACCTCACTCAGCACCAGAGAATTCACACTGGAGAGAAGCCCTATGAGTGTAATGATTGCGGCAAGGCCTTCAGCCACAGTTCATCTTTATCTAAACACCAGCGGATCCACACTGGAGAAAAGCCCTATGGATGTAATGAATGCGGTAGAGCCTTCAGCCAGCTTGCCCCCCTTGTCCAGCATCAGAGGATCCACACAGGAGAGAAGCCCTATGAATGTAATGAATGTGGCAGAGCCTTCAGCCAGAGCTCCCTTCTTATAGAACACCAAAGGCTTCACACCAAGGAAAAGCCCTATGGATGCAATGAATGTGGTAAATCCTTCAGTCACAGCTCATCACTCAGCCAGCATGAAAAAACACACACAGGGGAAAAGCCTTATGAATGTCAGGACTGTGGTAAGTCCTTCAGGCAGAGCACCCACCTCACTCAGCACCGGAGGATTCACACTGGAGAGAAGCCGTATGAGTGCAGAGACTGTGGGAGAGCCTTCACACACAGCTCCTCCCTTACTAAGCACCAGAGAACTCATACTGGGTAGCCCCACCCTGCTAGTGGTGGGGTTATGGGGAAGCCTTAAGCCATAGTTCTTGTTCTCTTCAACTTCTCCCAGTCACACTGACGAGAAACAACACAAACATTAATACTAAATCTTCACACACTGTGTACCCCAGTCAACCCTCAGAGAGTTCACACCGATGGAAATGATTATAGGAATGCCTAGCCCTAGCTTATATATAAGATCTGACAGTAAGTAAACACATGGAGATGAGTAATGTTTAAAGTCTCAACCATGAGTGAGTGTCCTCTAAGTTAGATGATAAAAATCTATAATAGAAACAGAACAACAAATCTGGGGATGGCTTCTCTCCAAAGATTCACCATATTCCACCCAGATTTCAAAGTGGCGAGAAATGCAATAAATGCCTTTCCAAATTAAATAAAGCCAAAATTAACATTACTTCACATTATGTCCTTAGTGTGACAGTGTAAATTATGAATGATGTAATTGACTCTCATTCTCCCAAGAAATCAATATGGTGGGATGTGTTTCGAATGAAGTGTAATGTATTTATGGATTACCAGATACTCAACTCTCAGCACAATGCATTTTCTGATTTATTATTAAAGCTTTCTGATTTAAATATAAATTATTCAGTGAGCATATGAGGGAGCTTCAAAAATCTGTGAGAAAATGGGATTAAAAATGGTATAATTTAATCACAAAGTTTTAAGGCCTCATACTTTAAGCAGATTTAACTACCAGTGCATTATTTTGTAACAAATTAATCTCCATATGCAATATTACTGAAAAGTTTGTTGTGGAAAAACTTGAAATGTAGATTCACTTCCATGGAATTTCAGATTGTGAGAGGGCTTTTTTAAAAATATCATTTTATTGGGGGCTATTACAGCTCTTATAGCAATCCATACATCAGTTGTATTAAGCATATTTGTACCCATGTTGCCATCATTGTTTTCTAAACATTTAATTTCTATTTGAGCCCTTGATATCAAATCCTCCCCCAACCCCTTGATAAATTATAAATTATTTTCATATCTGACACCAACCACTGTCTCCCTTCCACTGTGGTTTCTGCTGTTCATCCCCATGGCAGGGGGGAGGGGGGGAGGAAAGGTTATGTATCAATCGTTGCAGCTGTCCCACCCTTCCTCTCCCAACCCAGCCATCCTGGTGTGAGATGGCTTTTGCTGCTCTATTCTATTTCTTTCTTTTCAGGAGGATTCACACTGGAGGATTCACACTTGGAGATTTGAAACTCAGATGTTGTTTTATAGAGGGCTTTTCCCACGTGGAAGAAGCATACCAGCCTGTGTGATCATGAGGTATTGAAGGGATCAGGTAGCAGACATCAAAGAAGAAAAAAATCATTGTGTACTCACTTTCCCCATACAAATGCTGAGGACAAATGTGTGCATAAGTAAGTGTGGTGAAGAAGGCTGATGGTGCCCAGCTATCGAGAGATACAGCGTCTGGGGTCTTAAAGGCTCCAAGGTAAACTAGCGGCCATCTAGCCCAGAAGCAACGAAACCCACATGGAAGCAGCACACCTGCCTGTGTGATCACATGTGTCGAATGGATCAGTTATCAAGCACCAAAGAACAAAAAACCATGTCGTTAATGAGGGGGAGTGTGGGATGGGGACCCAAGGCCCATCTGTAGGCAACTGGACATCCCTTTGCCAGAGGGGTAGTGGGGAGGAGATGAGTCAATCGATGCAGTGTAGCATCGATGAAACACACAACTTTCCTCTAGTTCGTAATTGCTTCCTCCCCCTACTATCATGATCCCAATTCTACCTTACAAATCTGGCTGGACCAGAGGATGTACACTAGTACAGATAGGAACTGGAAACACAGGGAATCCAGGACAGATGAACCC